AGGGTAGTAGGAGTACTTACAGGGTACTTATAGGTAGACAGCGTGAAATCCAGAAATCTGAATCAGGATGTGAAGCTTTTTTTTGAGCTGCAACCTCTTCCCCAGCGCAGATGTTAGTGCATGCGGCCCTAAGAGGTATGTGCTGAGCACCCCTGTAGATATAGTTAATGGCTTTCACCCTCAACAAGTCGAGCTACCTAACTTTTGTAGCCTTGCGCTTGACTCAATTAACTAACCTTTGAAGCAAACCGTCTAACTCTGTAAAGAAAGTTATGGCTTTTGAGAGTACCCATTCAAGAAGAGTTATCCGTCAATCATGATGTTCTTGAGTCGTGTGCAACCACAGAAAAACAGGCGCACTGCCATTCTAAAATTAGAAACTCCCACTACAGGCTTGCTTCTCTCCAGAAAGCGACGCTGTGAGATTACAATTGAGATTGAGGAGGGAGGGGTCTTCAGGGATATGCAAAAAGGGGGCCCCAAAAAATTTTTTTACAAGGCTAATTTGTATTTTTAAAAATTTTTAAAAATTATTTTAATCATTTACAAGTAAAGACAAGTCCTTTGCACATTTTTATAACACATTTGAATAACTTTCAAAAATTTCGCGCCCCATTCTCGGGGGGGGGAGGCGCCCCCTCCCCCCCCCCCCGGTACGCCACTGCCCCTCCCAATCAAATAGCCTTAGGGCCGCATGCACTAACATCCCGAGGGGAGGGGATCGCAGCTCAAAAGAAAGCTTTATATTTCGAAACTCCAGATACCTGGATTTCAGGTTGTGTACCTATCCGTAAGTATTCCTACTACCCTTCACTATGAACATGTTGAAGAGGAGCGAGAAGCTGTACGAACCGCATTTTCCAGCTTCAGTATGATCCCTGATGATCCCCGGCGCTTTTCTTTGAAGTCATTTTTCTTTCTCCGAAGTTAACGAAAAACCTCCAAAGTTGTGCAGATTATCTAAACCGACAGTGCTAAGCATGTCGCTGGTAAGAACAAATGATGTTTTAAAGTCATGAAATTTTCGATGATCCACAGGTCGAAATTTGAGGTTCACCGAAAAATTCGACTTTTCAAAAACTCATTTGTTCTCATCAGCAACATGCTTAGCACTGTTGTGTTAGATGTTCAGTACAACTTTGGAAGGTTTTCGTTGACTTCTGAGAAAGTAAAATGACTTTAAAGAAAAGCGCCGGGGATCACCAGGGATCATACAAAAGCTGGAAAATGCGGCTTGTGCAGCTTCTCGCTCCTGTTCAATGTGTTCATAGTGAAGGGTAGTAGGAATACTTACGGATAGGTACACAATGTGAAATCCAGGTATCTGGAGTTTCGAAATATAAAGCTTTCTTTTAAGCTGCGATCCCCTCCCCAGCGGGAGGTTAGTGCATGCGGCCCTTAATCAAAGCTTTGAACCGTAATTACAGCCCCTAAACCCCACCAAACTAGCTCTACACACTGTCCTGAACAATATGGATATTAAGCTTGATGATAACACGAAAATCTGGATATAGCTATGAAATTCATTAACAAAATTTATTACTGACCAAAGCAAGCATTACTACGTAAACTCAACAGGCTGATGACCAGATAGCGAAAGCTATACAGTGATTCAGTTCGTCAAATGACTCCAAGAACAGAACAGACAACGTTTTTGAAGCTACCAAGATTAACGAATTTTGAAACAAACAAAAATACTGAGCAAACATCAAGTTATGATAGAGTGTGAGATTCTAGGAGAGCGAATACGGCAACGTACGGGTGCAGTCGCAGTGAAGGAATGGATAGTCAAGGGCATTAAATAGAAGACCAAAAATAGAAAATGGAAATAGGTCAAATGGAAATAGTTCTAATCAGGGTTCGGCACTGGTGGCTTATAAGCAAGCTGGATATCGTTTTTAGCAAAACAGCAACAAAAAGCAAAGGGGTATCGTTTTCGTGGCTGAAAAAATAGCTTTGGTTTTTTTTTCCTATTTTAGTTTACGTTTCGTTTTTTAGGGTGTTTTTACGTGGGTCTAGGCTCAAGAGAGACTCCGTAAAATTTTGCAAAATTTAAAAGGAGTTCGTTTTTTGCATTTTCGGAAAGCCATCTTGTGCTGATCCCTGGTTTTAGCGCTACCATTCAGCAAAGGACGTTTCACTGAACACTCGAAATTTTTGTAGATTGCTGATGTACGAATGAGAACCATGAAGTTTGCAGGTAGATTGGATAACCATCGAGTATGAAATCGCAACAAACATGACAAGGATTGCCAGGGTAAACAAAAGGCGGAAAACAATAAGCAAACTTGATCGACACTGTGAATAAGAACTGGCTGATGGAATTTTTGCACAGTTTTTTGTGACCTATCCGTTTCAAACGGTTCATTTGTTTCACCCATTTGCTGCTACTCAGATCACTGAAATAACCAATAGCGAATAGGATGGACCAGATGAACTGACTGAACCGGCTAAGTAAGGCGCCTAAATGTGTAACCCCACAGCAGAACCACTAATTCGACCCTGAGAGGCCTAAAAACTCGAGGGCGCTTACCCTGATATGGTTCGAAGGACGGTGCTTGTAGGAAGGTTAATAGAAACAATAGATAAAAAGTGCTAAAAACACTTCACAACGATTATATGCTATCCCTTAGCAAAAGAGTCACTTTTTTATATTATACTTTCCTGGAGCTGAGTGGGTTAACGTCTATTTTTGCTTGCAAGGGCAGTAGAAGACACAGAAAGAGATAATGTAAGAGCTGAGAAACAGAGACATCACGGAAGACATTGGATGAAGGTTAAAAAGGCACAAACATTTACGACTGCTACAGAAGGGAGTAAATGATTCCATAATAAATCAGTATCAGGAAGGAGATGACGCTAACGCTAGTCAGCGTCTGAGCAAGTGGTCCTGGGTGAAATGAGTTTACGGTAGAGAGAGTGGTGATATAGAGTTTTAAACTTTTCTGGATAACCAAGTTACGCGGAGAAGTGAATGATTGTGGTTACTGTGAATTGAGAAAATTGCATAAACAGCATATCTTCGCGCCTGCGAATGGTGACGGTCTAAACGACCACTCAGATAATCGCCGGGGCAGGCGGTCCGCAGTCTCGCGCTCTTCTGCAAGCGGTCAGCAAAATTTTGGGGCGTGGCCAAACTTTCAGCTATCGGTACTTTCGCGTTCTGCCAGCGGGCAGCAACACAGAATTTTCTGCACGCGCTCGTCAAATAATCGCCTTCAGCGAGGGCTGGCTAAACTTTCAGCAGGCGCTTGGACTTTTTTACGCAGTTTCGGGGCGTACGCCGAGCAAAGATGAGACCCTATGTGGCAGAATTGTCATCGATGGTTTGATTACCCGAGTTTGGGTACCTTCTTTCAGCGGAAGATACCTACGACCTGTGAGGTCTTCACAAAGGACCGTGCGGCCCCCAACATTTTTGCATATTCTCGCGGAAAGTCCGCGGGAATGCGGCCAGTGCGCTGCAACTTATATATAGAAAAACCGCGATAGTTCTCCGAGCGTTCGTTTAAAAATTGGCCAACATTCTTCCAAATATCTGCAAGCGGTTTGCAAGAAATCAGCGAACTATTTTTCGGTGCCCGCTTACCCATAAATCGCATGGCCGCCTACCCATGGCAATTCATTGAACACTTATCGAGGCATCAAAGGCTCAACAGAAGCTGCCACGGCAAATCAGCTGATCTAAATACAAGCGTGCTGGCGCAATGTACACACAACATGCTCGAGCGGTTTGTTGCAAGGGATCACGTGTGGCCACTTTGTCAGCTTCACGCCATGTTTTCAATGAGACAGTTTTGAACGAGAAATCAGGATGCAAGCTAGAGGAAGGTTGTGTCAAGCAGAACGGAAAAGCTTACAAGCACGAACCACTAACATCCAAAGCTGAGCTGCTTATCATAAATGTTGGCAATATGCAATAAAGTCGTACAAAATATATATATATATCTGTTGATCCACGCACAAATTCATTTGGATGTTGAAGATCTTTTCAGTATGCACCGAAACTAAGATCATGTCTGAAGTAAGTTCTCTTGAGCGTTGTCTGCAAGGTTTAGAAAGTAGGAGTAAAACATGAACGCGTAAGAGGAATAGACCGTACTACAATGCTAAACTGCCTTTCACGCATACGCGATCAAAATAAAAAAAAAGTTGAAGATCATAGCAAGTCATGCGTAGAAAGAAACTGAGCACGTTTCTGCACACGTACAAATCGTAAATGGAATGTGCGAAATGTACGTAAATGGAAGTCATTTATGTAATGTATGACGTCTCAACTTTGCAGGCGACGGCAAAGAAGTATTATTTAACGTGCTGCACTCACCCTCACTTTTTTCCATCACAACAATCATCGCAAAAGCATGTGAAACACAGCGCAATAGATGCCAAATAGTAGCCAAGCTGAAGGTGAAAAGTTTAGAGAGCTAAGCTACAAACTAAGTTTGATTCCTGTGAACATTCAAAAGTGCATCCGCAACTTCTATCTGAAAGAAAAGTTGAAAGGACGAAGAAACCAAAAACGCGAATGAACAACACCAAAATGCTGGTAAAAAGAGTGAGAAAACTTCGAGCAAGTTGTACACGACAACAGCCTACTTCCTCCGGACGTTCTGGACGCTTAGATGCCCCTGTCCTGCTGATCTCTGGGACTTCCGGGAGCCACTTTTCCTCAGTTCCCTCTAGTGCCCCAAAAGTCCTGTGCCTCGGCTTTTGTGACGTCAGCGCAAGCGGACCGCTCCACGCTTCGCTCCAATCGGCAACTCTAATGGTTAAGAACGTCTTAAATCATCCCCCGGAAGACCCGGAGATTTTCAATGCCCTCAAAAGTCTAATGCGATTTTTGAGTGATCTCTTGCTCTCCTGGGTATGACTGACGCCGAAGAGTTACCAAGGAAAGTTGATTAACACAAACCAATAACGTTTACCTATCAACATATCAACAACGTGTGATTTCTCATCTACCATTCGGTAAACTTCACATACATTCCGCGTTGATTTAGGTAAAACCAGCCTTCGAAGAGTTTTGTCGGCCAACGATGAAATGTGCAGATGTTATTATTCCAAGGGGTGGCGAAAATGATGTGGCTATTGATTTAATTGTACAGCACATCCAGGTAAGTCTTCATCTTATATCGGCCACTTTGAATGAACATATTCGAGAGCTTGTGAAGAACATGGGCATAGTTTGATAACACCGTTCCAGAACAAAACAAACCTAAAGGCAGCGTCCGGGTAAATTTAATGGAATCTCATTTTCTTACCTAGGCTCCTTCTCGAATAATTCCAATTCTTTCATAATTTTAGTTCAAAGTGATAGAACATCCCATATTGAAATTCCAAACTTTGTCTATAGGCGTGGCTCGGCATATTTTTGACTCAAGCATCTTTAGCTCAACCGGGGCTTTCCAAGCTGCCTACGAACATTCACACTATAAATCCCCACCCTTATAATTGGGCGAGGAAAGGCCGCACGTCAGGAGGCATTTCTCGCTCGAATTTTTGGCCCACAAAAATCCCTCTGTCTGAAGTGGCACGGCGGCAAGGCAGGGATTGGGGGTAGGAGGCAGATATATGAGTCAGTGCCATAAAAAATTGCAGGAGAGGTGCTGCATCATGCCTTGTTTGAGTTGTTGCGACATCGGTCTGCGGAAAATTCGCGCTGACCGTACCTTCTGACCGTTCCCACAAGTGGAACAGCCGCAATGGTGAACGAAAAAAGTCGTTGCGCGATCCTGTGGCCATATTCATCAACGAACCCTAAAGGTTAACCTTACCCTTGAGAATAAGTTTCACCCCAGAAAGCATAAAACCGTATTCACGAAGCACGGGGTGGGCTTATCCTCAAGGGTTAAACCTAGCGTTGAAGGTAAACTTTACCCCGGAAAGAATTAGCCCGCATTCATCAACGATTCTAAGGGTGAATCTTACCCCAGAAAAGACTAACTCGTATCCACGAACGCGGTTCATCAGGGTAGATTTAACCCTAGCATAGAGCAAGGTTAAATTTACCCTTACACTTCGTACCAACATAAAGTGATCTTTCGATGGACCACTCAGTCTCTACGATAGTTTTGACAATAAACACATATTTATAATAATTATCGTCTCAATTGCCTACGTCCTCTTTTCGTCTTGTCTAATCATTAAAAAAACTAGTATGAAATTTTTTGTATGTCGCTGCTCAGCTTCAAGTTTATCTATTGGGTTACCCCAAAAGTAAACTCCTTTTTCAAATAATTAAAGCTGTTCTTGTTTTCCCATTAGACTTACATTAGACTTAGGGTATCATTCGATAGAGCAGATTTAAGCTCTACAATGTACAAAGTCAAAATGTCAAAGCTCTACAAAGTCAAAATCGAAAAAATTGTGTCATCAGAAAATTGTATCGATGCGAAAAAGAATACTACAGATGACTGATCCTCTAACTTGGTCAATATACATTAGGCACATAGTATAATAGTACTCAAATGTGCCTTTTCCGAAATTTTGAGCATAGAAAGCGAGAAACAAAAATCGTCCAAAATGGCAAACTCCGTCCCCGGCCCCTCCCACATATGTCATTGTATACAAGCTTTACTTAGTATAATATCAGAATTTTACCCATGTATGTGCTCTTATAATCGAAAAAAACCAGAAGTGGCATTTTGGCATTTTCGGACCATCTTTTCTCTCAATTTTGAGCTCCGGGAAAAATCCGCCAAATATTTTTGAATACTACTATGTGCCTACTATATAAAGACCAAGTTGCAGGTCCGCAGGAATTTTCTGAAAGGAGATCCGGTTTTTGGGGTAGTCGATTTTGATTTTTGGCCCCAAAATTTACCTGGATAACGACTTAGGTGGATTCTTGGTAATATTTTTGTAGAGCTTGCTCTGCTCTATCGAATGGTTCCTTAAATCTATTTGGATAACGGAAACAGCTTAAATTACTTGAAAATGGAGTTTACTTTTGGGACAACCTAATAGTCAGACTACGATAGTTTGGTAATGGTAATCAAATCATTTACTGAACGGTTATGTTGGTGGAATAAAATTTGAATGAGGGAATACTAAATCACGAAAATCTGTCCGAGTTGTTGAGATCGATGCTCGCCATATCACCCTTAGTTAGGACATGTATTAGCTTGTTGCAAAAATAATGTCCGTTTTGTAAATTTTCAATTTGGAAGGCTATAACTTCGTTCAGTCTCCATATTTTTGAATGCAGTCAAGACCAACAGAAACAGCAAACCTCTCGTAACATAGCATGCACCTGCCTATACTGATATCGCAAACGGGAAGAAAACCATGCTTTAGAAAAATGAAAGTCAAAAACTCGTTTTCAAGAACTTACAACTACCTTCAAGCTTTATCCTTATAGCTGCTAATCAGCTTATATTGTAGCCGCAGGCCAATACCATACATGTCTATAGAAAAAACTTCAACGAAGGAGCTTTGCGAAAAGAAAAGATAAAAATTCAAAACTGTTCACTTTTTTGAGCCTACTTGTTGTAGGCTTGTAAGTATCAAATTACGAAAATTTGGAATTCTTCGCGCACTAATAGCTAAGTTTCTCTGCAAATATTGTAGTTAAGGGGTGCTAATCACAAGTTTACAGAAATGGGTGAAGCTTTGGCGATTGTTTTAACTATGAAAAATTGCTGACCTATAGAATGCCAGCAGCGAGTATCTATTTCGAGGCGTCATTTTCTCAGTCCAGACATCTACAAAAATCTATGTAAGCAGGCAGTAGGTAAAAAGTCTTCATCCAATACAATTGCTATGTTTTCAGAAGAATTCGTTCATTTACTTTTGAATAGTGTTCAAGAAAGTGAAAGCTATGAGATTCTGATTTGGAGTGTGGGTTGGAAAATGCTTGTGTAGTTCCCACAGATGAGGATAGCAGCTTACAAGGGAACCGTATCGAGTCGAAAAAGGATGGTGGGAGTACTTACGGATAGGTAGACAGCGTGAAATCCAGATATCCGGAGCTTAGGATATGAAGCTTTCTTCTGAAGCTGCGGTCCCCTCCCCAGCGGAAATGTTAGTGCATGCGGCCCTAAGTCATTTAGTAGAGACTTCTGTCTTTCTGTTGGGTGGAGTGGGCCACGTGCGTCGAACACAAAGATTTATTCAGTAGGGTATACAGGAGACAGTCGATTGAGATGCCGCTGGTGAGGTTTAAAAGAACAAAAGTTAAACTAACTAATGAAATGAAACAATCAAACACGTTCCACAACACGACATGATATACAGTTGGTAAACGTGATAACACCAAGTGCTTCATCTTCCTTACACGTCCCTCCTCGAATAGTCACCTCCGGGAATTTGCCGGTACCGTCCACTCTGCTTCATAGGGGCTTGCTCCATCCTTCTCGTTACAGGGTCTCGGAGATGCATGACTTCCGGCTTTCTTATTGTTCTCCTCCTCTTCACTTCGGGTTCTCCATCCGTTTCTTGTAGGTTGCCCGCGACCTTCTTCTTCCTCTCTCGTAATTTGAGTGTCGGCAGCCGTAATATGTTTGAAGCTCTTCTCGCAGCTGCTCCAGGAATATCAAAATCTGCCATCCGTACTTATCCCCCTTTTCGGGGGCTTACTCCCACGCATGTGGCCGGGTAGAGCTTCGGTACTGCGTTTTCTAATATCACGCATGTAGCCGGGTAGAGCTTCGGCCCCACGCATGTGGCCGAAGCTCTACCCGGCCACATGCGTGGGCTTACTCCCACGCATGTGGCCGGGTAGAGCTTCGGTACTGCGTTTTCTAATATCCCGTAGTAGTCAATCTCTTGAAGTCAAATCCTGATAGCGCCACGCTGATGCACTCATCAACAGTACCGCATTTGCAGGGAGGAAGACGATGTAGCAAGTCCGTTCTCGAATCGACATCGACTCTGAAACAGTAGACTTTAGAGTTCGAGTTTTTAATTTTTCTTCTTCTACCCCTTTTTGCTTTGCTTTTAGCCACTTTTCCAAATTCATTGTCAACACCTCGGGGCACATTTCGTAGATGATCAAGCGGTAAGCGTTTAGGTTGGTCATTCGCATTTATCAGCGTAATCAAAGCGCTGTTGTCACTGAGTTCGTTTACTCGAAGAGGGCTCAACCAATCGTTAACTAGTTTGAAGTGATTTGATAAGGACCTTTCCATAGGCACCTTAGGCTCATCGCTTGCGTTACCCGCCTAAGGCAAGGGACATACCTCACGCGATTTCAGTCGCCACGCGATCTGGCAATTTGCCAGATGTCTTCAAATTCAATACTGGTAGACCCCAAATGCACAGCATGTATAGCTTTCGTAGGTTGATAAAATGCCCCACTTCCCGTACATTCAGAAACCCCGTACGATGAGTTATGAACATTTGGAGTATTGCCAAATTGCGTGGCGACTGAAATCGCGTGAGGTATGCCCGATGCCTAACTAAAGCGCTGTTATAAACAGTTTGGTTAGTCTAGGTAACCCTGCCTTATCGGTTACCGTTTTGGGGTGTTTCGGAGCTTTTCCCTTGGGCATTTTCATATGTATCCGGTCGCTTGAAATCAACAGTCTCTCGTTCACTTGCTGTTTTCAAGATAGTCAAGCTTTGCCCGACGAGCCTTCCCTTTCCGTGCGCGAATGTGTTTGTGAGCCATGTGCATTCCATCACAAGCTCATTTTTATTTTCTTTCATTTGTTCAAGAAGTCGAGGCATTCGCACTTGGACGATGTTGTCCGCTCTAGCGTTTTTGCGTAGTGTAGTGAGGCTTCTTCTGCTGACTTAGCCTTTCCCCACTTACCTAGTCCTTTCCGACACGGTATAACTTGGTAACGAGAGCTTTTACTGCTTATTCGCAGTATTGCAATTTTCATTAAAAACAGACTTGTTGCTTGGCAACACCTGTGTCTGCTCGGTAAAGGCGTTAGTTCGCTTCGGTGTTTTGGTTTTGCCGTATCTACTATAGACACCGGCTACATTGACCTTTTGCATGTCCATAGCTTTATTCGGTTTCCTGGCACGCTTGCTATGCCGTTCACCTTTTTGGTCTGATGGCTTTCTTCCACCCCTGCGGAGTTGACCTCTTCTACGGATCGAGTAGCCAAATGCGTGCAGGACGTTTGTTCCCAGCACTATTTTAATATCTTCATTTTTCATACCG